ACTGAGCCATCCAGGCGCCCCAACTTTTTTCTTTTTAAATACAGCATCAAATTCGTCTGTAAATATCCTTTATCTTTTAATGTCATTTTGAAAAATCTTGCACTGTATTTTTAAATTCTTTTTTTTTTTTTGAAGATTTTATTTATTTATTTGACAGAGAGAACTAGCACAAGCAGGGGGGAGCGGCAGGCAGAGGGAGAGGGAGAAGCAGGCTCCCCACGAATCAAGGGACCAATGCCATGGGGTCATGGTCATGCCATGATCATGACCTGAGCTGAAGGCAGACGCCTAACCGACAGAGCCACCAGGCACCCCTTAAATTCTTATTTTTGAGAACTACTAAATTTAACTTGGAAAAACCAAAATATTAAATATTAATGACATCCAAATTGCAAATAAATTTATTAGTAAATACAAAATGGAAGTGAAGAAATTTAGCTCCAAAAATTGGAAAACTATAAGGATATCATATTTAAAGAAGAAAAGAAAATTGCTTATCCTCACAAAATATGCTGGATTTCACATAGACATTTTAATAAATTATATCTAAAATTATATTAAAAGATTAAAATCTGCTGGGGGTTTTTTCTTCTAATTACAAACAATTTTTGAATGATATATTTTGCTTCCTAAAATTTCCTATATTCTAACATATAAAAAATATATTTTAGCTTATAATTGCCCCAGGAGTGGAAGAGGCTGCACTGATAATTCGGCAAATTGCTGATCACAATTTAATGACCTCGAAGAGAGAACCTCATGAATGGTTGGATAAATCCTGGCTTGAAGTTTCACCATCTAAGGTCCATTTCCTAAATATGTAAATTAGGTATTTGCAAAGCAAATATAAATACATGTGTTTGAATTCTCTTTTTGGTAGCATTTTTTTGTCCTATAATGTTTGCATGAGCATATATAGCAGTAACTATAATGTACAATATTTAGATCATTTTCCAGAATCATGGGTATTTTTCAACTTCACAGAAGTATTTTAATGAGATCTCTTATACTGAACTTTCTTTTTTTTTTTAATTTTTTTATTCTTATGTTAATCCCCATACATTACATCATTAGTTTTAGATGTAGTGTTCCATGATTCATTCTTTGTGCATAACACCCAGTGCTCCATGCAGAATGTGCCCTCCTCAATACCCATCACCAGGCTAACCCA